AAAGTCTGTGGCGCCCAGCTCGCAGCTCTGCTCCAACCTGAGGCACGGGTGGGTGACCACTTCGCGGGTCAGCCCCTCGTTGATGTTGGCGGCCGCTGTGACGTTGCTGTTGCCGCTGGCACCTCTGTGGATGATGGCCTTATTGCTCCCCCTGGTGCGCAGGGTCTCATTCTGGACCTCCAACCTGCGAACCAGCTCCTGTAGCTTTCGGACCTCCTCCAGCTCCACCCCTGCCAGGTCTTGGCCCCCCTCCACTTCCTCCGAGCAGCCGGACTTGGAGCTCTCCGTGAGGCCAGTGGGGCTGCCACTGTCAGGCTGGGGGACCACGCTGGAACTGTCTGGGACCACCATGCTCCTACTCTGTGAGAGGACATGGCAACATTAACAGGATGGATAATGAGGAGCAGCTGGATCATGTACAAAACACAAAACATGCTACATTAGGCTCAAGTTAAACGCCATCATGCTTCTGAAGCTATAAAACAACTCAACCACACACAGATTAAGTAGCACAGCTGAGAACAGGAATCCATTCTCTGGACCTGGAAGTTGGTTGATTTACAAACATCTCTGAGGACAAAGGGTTGTGTTAACAGGGACATTTCTTCTGTTTACACTGTTTATAGGATGAGTTTAGAAAATATATCATGAGATCCAGAAATGCTGTGATGATGACAGAATAGTGTGGTTGCTTGGTTTTTACTGCTTATTGTGAGTTGGCTACTCATGTTCCTAAATCCTGGAAAAAGTCAGGGAGGTTATTTGTTTAGAATCGCTGCTGGTGCTGCAACTCTGGTTTCGCTCTTTCTTTTTTAATTCTTTCCTATAAAGTGCTGTCTTGTAAGTCTGTTGTTCTAAACTGGCCACCAAACAACAATAACAGAATCTAATCACAGATGTTCGGGTTCGATCACATGTGTTTGCTTGTTATTAACCAGGAAGCTCCAGTATCACAGCTAAAGGAAGCAAACAGTCTATTATTTACATGGCGACGTGGGGCTGCTAACTCAGCATCAAGCTAGCTCCATGAAGACACTGAGCATCGTTACGTTAACCTGTGAGCTCCACGGCAGCAGCTGTAATGTGAGTTTAATAAAAACACGCGTGTGTTCGGAATAGCCTGGTTGGTGTTAGCTCTGCTAGCGTATGCTACCAGAGGAGTCGTACCGGTGAGTGAGCCGTGTTGTCCCAGCGAGCTTGCCCGCCGCTCCGAGCTCAAAGTCCCCGGAGCTCCAGCGGCCGCATGAGTGAAGCCGCTAATTACGAGCCGGCGAAAAGGCTCCAGAGACGGGAGGTGATTGTCAGGAACACACCGGGGATGTGAACTCCCTGGTCGGCTAGTCCATGCTCTCTTGTTGCTGCCGCTGCGCCGCCGATAGCGTTGATCACATCGCCGCTAACTAGCTTGTTGATGGAGTTGAGTTCCACGCACACGCACACACGCACTGAGTGAGCAGACCTGCAGCAGCAGCACCTCCCCCTCTCTGCAGGGGGTTCAGTGGTATTTAGCGCCCCCTATGGAGGAGATTTGTTACTGGAGTGGCATCTCCAGACCACTGACCTCAGTAACTGTGCTATACAGCAGGAGTTCCTAACACTGCTATCAGACACGCACTGAACTCCTCTGAAAGGATCTGGAAGGAGTGAGAGGAGCCAGAGTTTCTCCTGCCAGCCACCAAGTAAAAACTCTGTATAATGGCTGAGATGCATGAGAGGCTCCAGAGTTTCTCCTGCCACCCCCAAGTAAAAACTCTGCTTGATGTCTGAGACAAGTAAGAGGCTCTGGACGATCTCCAAAGGTCCTGCATGTGGGAACGCAAATGTCTGAGTAAGAGGCTCTGGCCTAGAGTTTCTCCTTCCAGCCCCTTTGTAAAAATGAATGAGCCCTGTGAGAACAGAGCAGATCCCCCAGAGGATTCACTGATGGCCAGTGGGTCTGTTGATGATATTTCTAACATGCAGCGGATGCAAAATGAGGAGAAATCAAAAGGGAAAACAAATATCTCAGGATTAAAAAGAAGTGCCGTACACTCAGTACCCACGAAGATGTCAAACGAGTTTTGGCGATGGGGGCCTACGCCATTGTTGATGTGCTGCCAACAGAAACATGATCTCTGCAGTTGAATTAAATGATGCATTTAACTCTTCAGAGATGTTGTGAGTGTATCAGGCTGGAGAATCTCCTGCTGCTCATATGTGAATGAAATACTCAAAAAGTAAAAAAAAAAAAAACATTTATATATTAGAATTTTCTCCAGGGAAACTCATTCAGAACAGGAAATAGTCAAATACTCCCATCTACTGGAGAGCTGTCTATTTACATGACAGAAATCTATGCCTTAGATGATAATTTAGGTTTTGGGCAGCGTGTCAATGAATTTAAGTGTGTTTTTTTAAATTTTAAATCAATTTAAGACAAGTTCACTTTTAAAGATAAAGAACACTATTTGGCATGATTTTATGTCCCAGGCCTGGTTTTCTGCAAGAATTTGCTTTTAAACCAGAGTTAACAGGTTGGAACGTCTCCCCTTGCAGATCTTTATCTTCATACAGCCCTGAAATAAGAGTTCCAAGGCTCTGACACACCCTACCTGTGAAAATACAGCAGGCTGAGTCAATAGTTTTCTTTGAATCAAAACTTAAAACATACTATTATTGTATTGCATTCCCTGATTCTAGTTTTTACTATTGTAATGAGAGATGATGATTACATTTCTCCTACACGTTAAGTGTTATTAATCTTTTATGACTTTGTTTTTATGTTATTTTTATATGTTTTTACTTGTGCGTTCTTTTAGCGAAGCACGTTGTAACTTTGTTTTGAGAAATGCTCTAAAAATAAAAACATTATTATCATTATTGTCTCTGTCTAACCTCCATTGTAGCCATGGGGTGTCGCTGTTCACATATTGGTGCAATCATGGATGGAGAGAAAAGTATGAAAATGATTCATGATTCAGGACAGTGGAGAATGGCAGTCATTCTACAATAGAAAAGTGAAACCAATCTTTTTTGAGTTTTTTAAATTTAAAGTAAAATGGATATTTCAAACATGTATAAGGCGAAGATTATTCCACAGCTGGATCCAAGACACCCGTACCCTGTGGTCATGTTGGCCTACTCACAAATACCAGGTCTCGCTTAGATAATGCATTCGATAATGCCAATGTTAGAGTTCTAAAGAAAAGAGAACAATAAATTATGGTTTTGATAAATGTGACAAAGCAGTGTTATAAACTGAGAATAGAAATTGGGGTCCTGCAGTTACATTTGTGAAATGTGATGTTGGCCTTTTGGCTTCATGTTTGTTTCGAGGACATTAACTGACTCTCTACCTCCTATCATTAAGTTTTGTCCTCATCCAACCTGTCTCTACTTGTGCTGCAATCTTTCCTGTCACAGAGCACAGACAAGCCTGATCCTGAAAGATTTCTGGATAAAAAGAAAGCAACACACATTCCTTAACATTTTGCAGATTCATAAAGGATATCATGCTTCTTGGAAAGTAATGTATGTTTTAATCTCTGAAACAATCTCCCATATAGCTGGAGTATATCTGCACAACTCATCATAATCTTGGTGAATAAATTCCAACTGAAGCCAGTGCGAGGATACAAAGCATGTGTATGATCTCAAGTAGTTGCATGTTGCTGTATGAGCATGTTTCAGCAGGCCTGTGGTGGAAAAACACAGCCAGCTCTACCTTGAGCAATCAATGAGACAGAATAAATGATCCATGAGGTGCAGGGCTCTGTCTTATGAGCTCTCTAAAGCACATCTATACTGCAGCTTTATGTGCACGTGCTGCTATTCATCTCCTTCATTAAAACAGTACACATGAAGTCCCTGCATGTGGAAACTAAATTCAGACATCAACTGTCACTTTATCAGCATAAATACAATTTCATGTTGTCAGACTGGAATATGCAACACCTCAGCTCACACATTCCCTTTTCTTCAGCAGGCTAGAACCTGTAAATCTAGATCCAGGAGGCATTCAGGTGGTGAATCATTCCACCATTTAAAAAATAAAATAAATAAGACTAAGACTATTCATGCTCATGAAGAAGAAGAACTGGACATTGACAAAGACTTTGATTCAAGACAACTTTCACATCTGTTTGATTTATTGTGCACATAGAGCAGTGAAAGACTAAGTTTTTTTGTGTGCTGAGTACTGGACATGAGGAGAGTGATAATGAATTCTAACTCAAGTCCTTTGACATCCAATTCTAAAAATCTGTAAATTATGTGCGGCAAAATAGTGCAGTGGTGTGCACTTTTGCATCACAGGTGGCAGGCTCTAGGTATTTCTGTGGGGAGTTTGCATATTCTCCCCTGTCTCAGTGGGTTTCCTCTGGCGTCCTCCCACAGTTCATGGCATGCAGATGATGTTAGGTTGATAGGAGAGTTTAAATTGTTTGTCGATGTGAATGTGAGCATGAATGGTCACAGTTTGTTGGTCCTGTGATAGGCTGGCATCCTGTCCAGGATGTCATCGCTCGCCCAATGTCAGCTGGATTGTCCATACCCCACGCTCCAGGGATAACGATGGATTAATGGATGTTTTTTATATAAGGTGGACTATTCATTGCAAATCATTAGGTAAATTTATAGACCCATTTCTCAAAAAAAAATGTCTTAGCTTCAGTTTTAAGGTGCATTTTCATTTGTCCTTGCAAAAGGCAGACAATATTACACTTATGTAACTGGAGCACTGTAAAGATGATTGACACTGCTTAAAGATTAAAGATGATTGACTCTGCATCACACTATCTTACACCAAAAATAGGAAACATTTTGCAATAACTGAGAATGGGCAAGTGTTAATTATAATCATTTTCATTTTTGTTTTCCACTTCTGTGGATGTCCATTAGAAACAATCTTGTTCTAATAAATATGTTATATTTTATGTGATATGTAATAAATTCCTGAACTAAACATGATGCTGTGCAGGACAGTTTGATAAAATATAGACAAATGCAACTCAAGCAAAACATTTTAACATTGATGTTTTTATTGAAACAAAAATATCAACCTTTTGTTTTAATGGCACGATTTAGCAGTATAAATGTGGAATTGTTAAAAAGCAGGATCTTTGATTGATTTCCGTTGATACAGTTGTTCATGTTTGTTTGTTTTTTAACTATGCCCTGTCATATCTTTATCACCCTCTTTTTAGTCATTGAATGGGAAAAAAACAGTAAAGATACATCCATTGAATTTACTTTGGGACAGATCTTTTCCCTAACCCAAACACCATTTGTAATCAGACATGGCAGTGGAAAACAGAGGCAGATGGGCAGAGTCCTGACTCAAGTACAGACAGGTAAAAGGGCGGACGAGAAGAGAAGTCATGGCAGGCGTGTTTTGGTTACTTCTTCACATTTTGTTCTTTCTTCTCATCTTCGATGTCTGTGTGATCACAAGACACAGACACATATGAGGTGATCAGTATGAGTGTGGATGTCGTCAGGACAAGAAAACAAACTGATTTCACACAATCTTTAGACATTGCAATATTTTTTAATCAATTTTAAAACCTAAAATCTGATGCATACTCCACAGAACAATCATAATATGAAGCATCACTGTCAAATATTTTCCATGCAGCAGCTGGTGCCACAGATGGCTCCTATTTGGCTGATACAAATAAGCTACGAAAAACGTACAGTCAATGGTTGAGTGTCTCCAGCCTTCCATGTTTAGAGTGCAAAATAATTGAAGAGTCGCTGCAGCAGATTAGAAGTGCTATCTTGTTAAAAGTTTGTGAAAAATGAGACAATTTTTATAATGAACTGTCAAAATCAAAGCTTTTGATCTCCAAAAAAACTGGTTCCTACATTTCCCATAAAGCAACTCTGTGGAATCTTTTCATAGATAAATGCCTGCTACACCCTTTGAGTTCCCCACTCTGTTTGGGCTTTCTCTTAATACATGTTAAATTAACAATGAAAGATTTGAAAAGTCAGTCGGGGTGTTAGTCAGCCAGGAGCTTCTCAGCCTCTGGAAGGAAAGGAGGAGCACTTTGCCTCACTTTCATATTAACACACCAGATGTAAAGTGGGTCTCTTTTTTTTTTTTACTATATGCAGCGTAAAGTATAAAGATTAATAATGTATACTGTGTATACTTTAACTTACTTTACTCATGCACAAATGTAAATCTATACATACCCGGTCTTTATTTCTACATATGTATATCTTTTATTTCTTTTAGCCTTACTTGATTTTTATATTTTATATTACTATGTTTATACCTGCTTTTGCTSTTTCACCTCTTTCTCAGGGGCTCTGTAACATTTKAATTTCCCTACAGGGATTAATAAAGTACTTCTGATTCTGATTCTGATAACATGGGCCTCATAACTAGTGTTGAAATTGCATTTTGCAGCTGAACACCCCTCACCTCACAATCTCCTTCCAAACATGAAAAAGAACCTGTGGTAGCGTTTAATTGACATAAAAACTCAAAAGGTGTTTAGTTTTTCCAGTCTGGACTAAAAAACATGGTGGCCTCCGTAGAGAGGGTCCCCTCAATGTAATTATAAAGTATTTGAATATAAATGGCCTTTTCTGGGGTAAAGAAAACTACAATTCATACAATTTAGATGAAACAAACTAGTAAAAACATCATAAGGATTATTCTACATTACATTTCTGCCAATAGTTCCTTTTCAACCTAAATCTTATACACTGGGCCTTTAAGCACTTACCTTTAGAAGTTGGTTTATACACCTTTTCTGCTGTAGTAGTCTTCTTTAGTTTAGAGACGTCATAGTCCTTGATGTCCTTATTGACATCAGGTTTTTTGTCGCTCATGTTGGAAGAGTTCTAATGGAGAAAAGTGGTAGAGTGAGAGAGAGAGAGCAAAAATGATGATTCTGATCAAAACATGGATTTTCACTGAGAGGGCATCAGATTATGTTGCAATGAATCCTCGAGAAAGCATGAGGTCACTCTTGTTCTCGATCACTGAAGATGTTATGTGCAGTGCGTGTCCATACAGGGACACTTATCAAGCCACACCTCAGTTAAAAAAGACAGGACCAGGCCGAACACTGGAATTACATAACCCGTCACAAGAAACAACATGCACTTCACCACCTACCTGCCAACAATGAACAAACAGCTCTAATGTGGTGTCATGTTTCTTACAGGTATTCAGTTCCACAGGAGACAACTGGTTTTCACTGACACAATTATTTGCATTTGCATGTGATCACTGAAGTGATTTGCTTTATATCAAACAAACACATAGACAGATAAGATAACAGCAATGAAGTAAGATGTAAAACATTTTTTTCACAAGAACTGACTAAATCCAAAAGTCCATGTTTACTGCACAGGTTCTTCTGCTCATGGTCTTGCATCAATCCAAATGTGAGATTGCATCTAGAGGCAGTGCCTGGTAGCCTATAGCATTATTACAATGTCCACATCTTCACATTGTACATCAATGTAATAATGATCAAGTCCTGCCAGATGGAGTCTTTGCATGCAAAGGAATGCAACTCCTTCAGATACAGTACAAGAAATAAGCAGTATAGTAAAAGTATCAGCATAGTTAATACCAGGAATTTTACATAACAACTATCAACCTGTAATAGATAGAAGAAAGTCTTATGATTAATAATGATGTTTGCACTGCTTTTTAAATGCATGATTGAAAAAAGAGATCAAACTCAGTTTACCTGGTGAAGGCTGCGCAGTGACAATGTCCTCTACAGGTTAGATGCGTCTGTGTAATCCCTGCAAAACCAACAGTTTAAGTAGAGACAACACGCCCTTCTGCACGCCTACGGGGAAACTGCTGCTCCATCTCTCATTGGTTCCCGCAGCCCACAGGAGGAGTTCTAATATGCAACCCTTGCTGTCTGGCTTCCCGGAGATATTATGGGCTGCTCCATGGGCTCGGTTCATCCGCCCCTGTCCCCGGCTCAAGTGCACTGAGCTCCCATTGTTGATGGAGTGGATGATTTCATGTTGTCATTTTTATTAACACAGTACCATCTAGTGGACTGATTATAATATGACACGATCTGACAAAAAAACCCCCAAAACAACTACATACAGTATAACCCCCACAGAATAGTGTGCACAGCAAAGACACATCAGAAAGTTTATTAATGCACTTTTCATGGACATTTATTCTCTGTCGATTTACATGTAAACACTGAGATTACAGACAGGCTGTGGACAATTTATCTTTCACTGAGACTTATTTTGTGAATAATAACATATTTATTTCTTCCATGCATGGTCCTGGTCTGATTGCAGGGGGTAGTGGAGCATGTCCCACTCCGGGCAGGATACACACTGTGTGGATTGATAGAGTTTAGTGGTGATTCAGATTCTTGCCCAGGACCCTCATGTTGTGAGGTATCAGTGCTGACTCCTGAGTCATAACATATTTGTCACAGCCCTATAAATAAACATTAACATTCATTTGTCCCCATGACAGTAAATAAAGCAGCAGAGGATGAGAAAAAGTATGGGTCTCCCTTTTCCCTATAATGCAACATTTTGCTAGACATTTCCATGCCTTGTAAAAAAAGCTACAAAAGGTCCCCTTTAAGACAAATGAAAATACAAGGCAATTGTGATTGCCTAGCACCATATGCTATACTGCACAAACAACTTTGGCTAACGTTAAATCCTCACCAACCATCTCAGAGACAGGGGCTCAAGTCCTGGCAGTGGTGCGTTAACTTTGGCTTCTGCATTCAGCAGTGTTTGCTGGCTTGAAAGAGATGATGGATGACACCCGTGTACTTGCTGGACTTGACTGGACGAGGCATCTGCACAAAGACAAAATGGGGTCCTGGGAAATTTCCAAGGGAGCATGCTACAGTAATATTATATTTGAATATCAATTCAAAGAGAGTAGTTTAACCGGGCAATTTGATATCTCTCAGAGAGTTCCTCTGCGTCTCCTTAGCCTGAGTGTTTCTGCTGTCTGTCATAGATAGCGGATATAATTCCCCATGTGATGCACGATCTCAAAATAACAAGGGAGCCTCCTCGGTAAAGCAGAGCTACACTCTGCTCCCGAGACTTCCACAGCAGCCTCCAACTAGCCATGACCCCTTTCACCTCTCCACCCACCTGTGCCTGCATGTTTGCCACCAGCACAGAGAGCGGGTACAATGCCAAGCTGATTGCCATGGAGGTCAGTGCCCCTGATACAAAAGAGGAAGCCATTGGAGGGACCGACTCTCCCGCCAGAGCAGCACGTACGGGCTCCTTCAGACCAAAGTAGAGGGAACTGCCTAGAGCATTGCGGGTCGTGATGGGCAGGAAGGCTCTGTAGTACCCAGTGGCCGGCCTCTGTGCCCTCAGCCTGACAAGAACACTATTCAGGGTGGGTAGCTGACGGTCATTCTGGCCGTTCTGCAACACATTTTGGACGCGCTCTAAGGGGGTGAACACCACAGCTTCAACCATGCCTGCACCAAACCCAGCCAGAGCAGGCAGGGCAGATGGGGAGATGACACTTTGGGATGATAGCTTGAGTTGGTGGAGGATAGCGTCCTGGAGACCAAACAACAAGGTGCCATTCAGGGTTCTCATCAGCAATGGTGGGGTCACTCCCCTGAAGAGCTTCCTAGGTCCCTCTTTAAAGAGCTGTCCTACTGCCTCATGAACAGGGTTGTTGTGGATTTGTTGACGGAAAACAGTTTTATAGACAGGGAAGACAATGATGGTGGACAGCAAGCTGGACATCCCTCCATTTAGGAAACTCTGGATATGACACTCTGAGCGCCTGGGGGCCTCTTCTTTGTGTTCAGGACTTGGTTTCATGCTTAGGCTATAGGTAGGAATGAGAACAAAGATCATTTCAGGCATGCACTGATCCAGGAGGACAGTCATAATTCAAATGAAAGTGAATGATTGTCACACTTCGAATTTTACACCAAAATAAATTACACATGGTTAGTACTAATTAACATAAAAGAAAGAGTGGACAATTTATCTTTCACAGACACTTATACATATACCAATAGATCCCTTTCACCTAAATCTTACAAATTGCATCTGCAGGCTAAGTTACAAGTATAGGAAGGACACTCATAATGAAACAGAAAATAAAAGATGATCGTAATAAAAAACTAAATAAATTATACTTGGGATATCATCATTAACATATAAGTAAGAGTGGATGATTTATGTTATACAGAGATTTATCTTGTAAATGATAAACATTTATCTCACCCAGGCATGGTCCTGGTCTGATTCTAGGGGGTAACGGAGCATGACCTGAACTTTCATGAATCCCCATAACAATCCCCATAATGTAGGAATGAAAGTAAATCAAGCAGCAGAGGATGGGTTATCTTTTGGGTTTTTTGGTCCCTTTTAACTCCCTGGCTAAGCTGTAAGTAGGGAGCACAGTCATGAGGAAAATGAAACTAAAAGCTGATCAAACGTCGAGTCTCACACCAAGACAAATGACATTTAAAAACATCTGGTATATCATCATAGACATATGAAAGAAAGAGACACTGACTCACAGAGTGTGCCACCGCCAGGCCAGGGGAGTGAATGTGGAGCGTCGTGTAAAATACAATTTCCTCCTCCCTGTGAGACGTGTAAACAGCACGGTGGGGGGGCGGCGGTCGTCTCTTCTCAAGCAATACTCATAGGAGAAGTGACTTCCGTCCCGCTGTACACACGTTCGATTCCGGTCTCCTTCATATAACTGTTCAACCTGATTGTGTCCAGGAACTGTCAGTGGATGGCCCGCCCTTTCTACAATAGCTATTGGTCAAGACCGGCGACATCGTCTGCTCTGGGATTGGTTGTTTCGCCCGTCGCTTTAAAGACCCACCCCCTTCTGTTTTGATTAAGGGCGAGTCCGATATAAACAAACACATCTGCTCTTTTCCTGTGGTCTGTAAATTATTTATAATCACATCACTTCTTCCCTTACACTGTCAAACTGGAAGTCTTTAGTCCAAAACACAGTATACTATATATATTTAATGTGAACAGTTGATTGTTCTTTTTTTAATATATTTGTTTAAGTGAAGCTGTTTCAATACTTTACACGACCAAACGTTACATTCTGGAGGTGCAATGTCTCTTTTATTAAATGGTGAAATAACACGATTGATTTATTTTGAACCCTACAATTTATGTAAGGTGTCTCATCTTTATTAATATGAACCATTATCATATTACTTATATATTGAATACAATGTTACTGTTGTTATATATTTTAAATTTTATGCTCAATTGTTTTATGTATTCAATCAAATTGCATTGTTTATATAAATTATGTATTAATTGTTTTCTTGTAACTTCTATGTAAGAGCTTTTATATAATTTGGCAGAAATGCAATACCTGTTCACTTCATATGCGATTATCATTGCACTGCTAATTCCTTGACTTAAATTTCATCTGCCTTAATTGAGCATATTTTCCTTGAAGCTACATTTTATCCTACATTTAAATTTTTTGTCTTTGGAATGCACCTTGGATTATAGCTTGAAAAAGAGAATTTGAATAAAATATAAAATTAGCATTTAAAATACCATACCTGTATTATCAAGAGTAGGAGGTATGCTCCCTTCAATTCGATGTCAAATCCTAGGTTCACCAACATTGAACATTTCTGGATTTTTTCAATGATCAGCTTTTATAAATGCATTTATACAATTAAGTTATACTTTGAGATAATTACATATGTAACAAAACAAACACCATTTTTAAGATTTTATGCATATTCAGTTTTATTAAGAACACACCCTCAGATATCTGGCGCATTCAATCCTTCTGAAAAAATAAACACAAACACTTGGAATATGCACATTAATGACAAATCCTTCCTTCTGACATAAAAAACACACTGAGAAAGAGAACAAAAAGCAGGTGAACATTTATGAAGGAAGCTCCAGCCCGCAGAGACCCCAAGCTAAAAACCTGACAGCTTCTCAAAAGAAAGGATAAATCCTGGACACTGGGGAGACCCCACTCAATGAGGGCACCTCAAGAGCTGAAAGAAACATCCCCAGACGTCTTCTTCAGCCTGTTAATAAACATGTTCACTCTTCATCCAGTGACAAAATAAAGATAAATCTGTGGTTGAGGGAGGGTGAAAGTAATTTCGTTTCAGGCTGTTGAGGCACTCTTGGTTGAGTGGAGCTTCAGTGGCACTGTAAACTAGTTCAGTACACATTCACTTCATTATTATCTTATATTATAATCAGCAGAAGATACAAGAGCAACATGAAAAACTACTCTTTCATGGAACAAAAAAAGCACTGTAACAGCTTTATTTGCCAGATGCTTCTCTTGACCACTGGGACCTGTCAGGTATAATGATACAAGCTCTTTGACAACAGACTGAAAAGACTCCCTGAGAGGAAGAAATGGTCAGGAGAAACTCTGTGACTTATGTTATGATAGCAGACAAAGTTTGTCTTGGATAAAGTTATTCAACCATGTACAATAAATACGCTGGTGCCCCGAACACAAAGGGACACTCCTCATAGGGCAAAGAAACTCAAGTGAGAGGGGTCAGCATTAGTAACAGATAAAACAGTTCTTTCCTTTTTGTAATTTTTTTCTTTTTTATGGTTAGTTAGCTGAACATCTTTGATAATGGTTGTGTTACAGTTGGGGCAACTCCTTCTTATTTGGTGTGACAGCAAACAAGTTTATAGCAAGCACCATTTGTTACAAGGGGACATGGCTGAACAGGTATGAAACTGACTCGCCGTTGTGAGTTCTACGGATGGCCTCTGCAAGGATCATGGAGATGTCAATGACCTGGAGGCAGAGAAGATGGGAAGTTGTGAGGAAAACTGGACTACTGACAGACAACTGATGCTATATGGAGGTATTCTATAAAAATAAAAAAAACAGCCAAAATAGCCTCTGAAAAGAATTTGCATGACTTCATAAATCACAACATTCACTTTTTATGCAATTAAATGTTTGTTTCTTTTCCATCCACAAAAGACAATCAAACCTAGAAGGCCCATCAGAGAGCGAACTACCAACAAGGATCTCCCATATCTTGCCATAAAAGAGAAAGTGAAAAGAAAAATCCTGGATCTGCCAGTTTATCCAAAACTACTCTATAAAACTAATGGGTTTTTCCTTGGTTCATGGCCCATGTCTTCAAAAATAGTAGTTTTTCAGTAATACTGCTAAAAGATACAGACACGAGTGATTTCATAACCTCTTAGGCAGTGGCAATAAAGGCATTTTCCACTTTCAAAGTAATAAAAGAACGTGTCATCGCTCACTGATGTGTTTTTAATAGTTTTGGGCAACGATGGGGCTCTATCACAGAGTGGAATGGGGAGGTGACATGTTCCTTAATTGCTTTGAATGTGGGTAATCCAGTTATTACCACCACTAAAGAGGTTATGCAATCATAATATGTAATACTGGTGTATCAAACACCTTGACGTTGGTTGCCACCCACAGATAAACCGAATGTAGAAGATCAGTCACACATTGTCCATTTGTACCAGATGCTCAAACGTGTTAAAGTACTCTAAGATCCATTGTCGATAATAAACATGTAGTTCAGAGATAAACTCTACTGTGGTTTCACTCCCATGGCAACAGCCTTCTGAAACTGCATCTGTGACTAAAGTTCAGGCCATGGAGGAGGGCAGTGGAAATCCCAGCCTTGAGAAGGTCCCAAAATCCACTGGAACACCAGAATGTACTGTAGCAGCAGCTTGTCTGACCAGCCTGGTTGAAACAAAAGAGCTAACACCCAGACTCTACAGTGCCGACACCTCCATCAGCTTCTCTGAAACCCAGAGAACCACACTCTGCAGTGGTTCAAGCTCAAAAATTTTATGGTAATTGGTACAGTAGTTTGTGCAATCTTGCTAACAGACAAAGAAACAAATGTAAATGAAAACATTATATCGTTAGTGCAACAACTATTTGCACACTTACATTAAAACCAAAGTAAATATGGTATCCTGACCTGAATTTTGGGACAGTGTTTCATCTTCTCCTCCTGAGGGATTGTATTGGTGACAACCACAGCTTCAAAGCAGGCATTGTTGATACGTGAGATAGCTGGGCCAGAGAAGATGCCATGGGTTAGGATGGCATACACCTTGGTGGCACCGGCAGAAATTAGTCTAAGGGGATAAAAACAGTAAAGAATTACATACCTCCACATCCCTGGCTATATCATGGAACAGAGGTCCCTATATGAAATTCAGTTAATGATCTCTTTGTCTGTTAGTTTGGCACCCAGTCCACAGTAGGCCACCTGACTGTAGTCAACCTCTTTCTTATGCTGTCAAGTTCCCAATTTATTTTTTACCCCCAAAAAATAGATACTAATACTAACTTGTCAGCAGCATGGCAGACTGTGCCACACGTGTCTGCCATGTCATCAACGAGAATGGCTACCCGATCTGTCACATCTCCGACGAGAACCATACGGTCTACCTCGTTTGCTTTTTTCCTCTCCTTGTGAATAAGAGCAAAGTCCACATTCAGCCTGTCAGCTATTGAGGTGACCCTGCAAGATGAAAAGAGTTGTGTCCATGAGTTACAGCTGCTGTGCATAACAAAGAGTATAAAACAGTAAATGTACAAGTCAAATTTGAGCCCTGTTAGCAATAAGTTCAGTCAACAAAAGTTTAACCTTCAGTGAATTAGATATGGTGAGGGTAAGCTATGCACACGGGCCTGGAACACATACCTTTTGGCTCCTCCTGCATCTGGTGAGACAATGATACAATTTTTCCATTCAAGGATGTTCTCCTTGATCCATTTCAGCACCGCTGGCTCTGCATACAAGTTATCAACTGGGATATCAAAGAACCCCTAGAAAAAAGATTAAAACAGATAATCAGACTTGGGTAGGAGTTGCTGAACATCTACTATGTGCTGGCAGGAATAGAAGGATCCTCTCTCCCTTTGCTGATATGTAAACTTCAGGCAAGGAGAGTCTAGTTTCTAAGTACAAACAGGGTTAGAACGCAAACAAAACATATAACCCTAAAGACTGATTGATGCATTTCTGTTCAGCTCCCTTTCTGGGTTGCTCACCTGTATCTGAGAGGCATGCAAGTCCATGGTGATGATGTGGTCAGCACCTGACACTGACAACATGTTGGCCACCAACTTGGCAGAGATAGGAGCACGGCTCTGCAATGAAAATAGATCTCTTCAGTCACATGGAATGAGTGTACTGGCAAGCATGGCTAGCTTCTAAAAATAACACAAAACTGACAGCGTTACAATTCAGTTAAATATATTACAATATATATACACAATATTTTCTTTACACCCATTAATACTGTCACTCAATATTTAACACAGCAAAAAACATCCACTGTGCAAATGCTAAACAGATTGAGGCTTTCACTTAAAATGTTGATACAACATGTTAAATATATTCAAAGAACAGAGCAAAAACATAGCAATTATTGTTCTATAAACATGCATCTTAATATCAAAAGATCACTTCTACTTATAAATAAAGATCACGTTTTAGATTCGGTTTTTAAACATGCAAAACCTTCCAGTCATGCAGGATGATTAAAATGATGTGAGAGCATCTATGAGAAGCATGAGATGGGAAGTGTTGATCGACATGGGCGCAAGCTTCTTGTCATGATGCTGGATGGCAAATGGCATGACAGAAGTAATTAGACAGATATCCCTCACCCCCACCTTGTCCTTCTTGTCTTGTCGGGCGTAGGGGAAGCAGGGGATGACAGCGGTGACCCTGGAGGCCGAGGCGATCTTGCAGGCGTTTATCATGATCAGCAGCTCCATCAAATTATCGTTGATCTCTCCACAGCCACTCTGCACGATGTAGACATCCTCCCCACGCACGCTCTCCCCGATCTCCACGCTGCCGGGGGGGGGGGGGGGGGGGGGGCAAATACAAACAGCACTCAGGGCCATGGAGCGAACGCACCGTGGCAGGCGAGAGATGGATGAGGCGGAGTAAACAATGGCCGGTGTGTGCGTATGGTTAAACTAATGGACGCTGGGTCATCACAAGACAGTGAAATGACGTTGCAACATCAGTTCATCGCTCAGAATTAGCAGAGCGGTTGTCAGCTAGCATGACTTCTCATGCGTGCGCGGACTACAAGTACCACTGAACACTGCGCGGCAATTTCACCGCGACACCACGTCTGGTTAAATACGTGTCGCTGGTGTAACTGCGTTCACCTCCGATTAAAACAGCAGAATCACAACTCACCATGTCTCCTGGTTGCTGAATTTCTTCGTCACAACCTTCCCCAGCTCGAGACCCAGGCGGTCCGCTATTTTCTGAGACAGGTCCGGGTGTGAGCTACCGCTGAATATTTTGATATTCGGCATTTTGTTGCGGTTCCGGGGCGTCGTTCAGTCCGAGGCGGCAGCTGCGGGTCCGGAGGAGGTCGAAGAGTCGGCGACGGCGACTGGGAATCGCTCAACAGGTGACGCTACTGTCTCAGAGCTAAAGCGTGGGTCTCTACCTATCCACCATTATAGCCCACATGTCACGCGTGCAGCAGGCTGTCCATCCTCCCGGAGCGGCGCGCACGCTTTCACTTACGTCCATGCCGTGGTGACGTCATTCCGCCCAGGCAGACGCATAGATCAGCGAGAGCACGTGAGCGCGCTGGGGCGAGCATAGCAGCTAATGAGCACAGATATTATACATTATATTTTCCAAACATGTTTATTAGCTCTTAAATAATATGAATGTTTGTCCAGTTTTGTTTTTCCCGGCATGTGTCTGAAACTTTACACTGCTCCATGTTCACTAAATTAAACCTTCTCTGTTTGGCAGAGACCTGGTTTTACCTTCAGGGCCCCAGAGTCAACATGGTGAGCCTCTGGACTATAACATAGTGCAGTGTCCTCCAGAGGTAAGAATGAAACATACAGGGACAGCACTGCTAATTTAACTCCACTGCACCTTTTCAGGGATGACATGTCACTTCACGACATAGTAGGAAACAGGTGTTTGCTTAACACATTGACAATCGCTCAGTTTTATGCACATTACTGTCACAATAAGCCAAGACAGTGACAGTGAGCCAACATGCGTTATACTAGGACTCTGAAACCAAAGCTGCTAAATGGAATCCAGCCTTCACGAATTCCCTTTTAATTCACATCTGACCTTGTCCTACCGAGACACATGAAAATGTCGATAAACTATAAACAGTTTCAGTGGCATATTACTGCATGTTAAGGTGTGTAAAATAGTGTGTGTTTTACTCTAGATCTTAAACCTCCACAGTTATATTTTCACTTGATTATCTTCTCTTTTGTTTAGGCAAAGAGGTACTCTGGCTGGTGGTGGGCCAAGATACAATCCTGTTTTCAAATAGCACTTATACAAACAACTCAGAAAATACCATTTTAAATAAACTTATCTTTACTGTAAATAACACAAAGCTGCAAAAGGTTTTTCCTGTTGAGGCCACGTCAGTGTTTGCCAGAGGCAACAGTAAGATCCTGCTGCAGATTTGCATGACATTTGTTCTATTGACATCCTGTCACTGCCACCAGTTATCTGCATGCAATGTCATTTCCCAATTCTCTGAAAGAGTTTATATAATATACTTTATTGCTCTTAAAACATGAGTTAACTTTGTACACAGACATAAGACCACAGTGACGACAAGATCATTGACAGTAAATAAAAACAGGAATGAACAGGTGCACATAAAGAAACAATGGATTAAGCCATGGTGGACTCATCATGTGAATGAAACAAAGACAAATCCACACAGTTTTGCAAAGCAACTGAACAATGACAACCACAGATAATTCGTACTGTAATGTTAAAATGTTCATGTGCTGATGAGAAAACGCTGTCTGACATTTTGGTTTATAAAAATAAACATGTCCCATGCTTTATACTCATAATATACTCTTTAAAATATATGATTTGCTATTAGTCTCTATGTTACATTACTACTATAAATAATTACCCTACAGACATGTTTCATCTTGTCCTTTTTACAAAATACAGAGGTTGGATAAATCTTGATGTTGCAAGTAATTCTTTAAAAGTATGTCTTAATCTCTCAAATATTTTTTATCTGATTATTTACATAACAGTGTAGAATGATACATTTTCCATATCGAATATCATCTGCAAAACATTAACATGTTGCCACCACAGCCTTTCATTTATGTCTGGTTAAAATAGGAACATTTTCTGAACAAACGGTATCATCACCCTCGATAGTCAAAGTATGTGGCCCGGAAAGTAGGGGGGAAGACATGCAGTACAGTGAAAGAGAAAACACTACGTATGGTTATGGAAAGTGCCACATTAATCGCAAAGGAAAAACTGTTAGAAGAGAGTGCTTTTCAACACCACAGATGGGTACTGAAACCAATAAAAGAAGTGCAACGAAGCTGATATCCTGATTACCTTTTCATATTGAACATTAAATTCTCTGTATAAAATTAAAACTATTTTAAGTGGGCTTTATTTGCTTTCACTGTTTAATTGTGAGTGAGATATAGAATTACAGATACGATTCAAGACACTTATAATTAATAAAAAGAAATGTGTACCTGGCTCAAAATTGCTGCAGTACTAAAAGATAACATGAAAATAAAATATTAGGTACAATTAAATTAATACCATTATTGTTTTATATGATGATTAATTCTGAAACATTTGTAAGTTTGTTTTAAATGACTGTATGGCATTCAATATCATACCATTTGTTTCGAATCACCAAACAGTGAAATGACATTATATACAATATTTCAAAAAGGTTTGACATAAATCCCAAAGGACTGACCAATAAATACATTTTATTTTGCAAGAAAAAGAAAAGGTGTAATTTTTGTCTTTAGTTTATTGCAGCCCTGTTGCCACAATTAAGTTGGTTTCACAGCACTTTCTCTTAACAGTATGTCCATTAAACATGTTAGGCCAGCACAACTATAAAGCCTCTGTGATTAATATCGAGGAATAACAAGAGGATGAGACACAAAGGAGATTTCAGACAAGAAACAGATGTGTTAGTTTTATTAAAATACATAGAAAACTACTTTTGTGTGTTTCTTATATAGTTGCTAGATTGCACAATGTATTACAGCACATAGAAAGCAAATTTGTCTATATTGTATCTGAAAACCTGAATAAAACAAGGGTGTTTTGAAACGTATAAGCTTTAACCTTGAGGAGATGAATCGTGTTAAACTGGTGTTGCGGACTCAAGTGAGTTTTTCAGCAGCAGAGTGAATAAAACAATGCTGAATCTAACAGTAAAATACATAAATTTCAACTTCAGAGCTAATTTCAGAGGTTGTGCAAACTCCTATAGTGATACACTTACTCACTTGCAAGTGGATGGCTATGTTTAAAACTATGATTCACAACATGTGGGATGCATGTGAGCTAGTGATCACTGAAGGTGTAAATTACACTCTGTGCATTATCAGTGTACAGTGTGGGTATTCCTTCTCTACAGCTGAGTGAGGTAACAAGACTCATTACTGTACAGTGGATAAGACTGTGACTTGGGTCTCTGCTACATTGTCTGCCCTGAGCAGGTGTGTTACATACCTGCACTGTTAAAGTGAGAGAATGGGCTTCTGTCTGTCAGTCAGTATAGTTTAATACTATGTCTGACTTGTCTTTCAATGGTTATTTTCCAAGACTGTCACTTTCATTTTGACTCTTGTATCAGTATTCCAGACACTGTTAACATAGCCAACAGAGATCTCCATTTTGTATTACAACAGTTAGATATTTCAACAAACACATCACCATCTAACCAACCGACGCTTCGGACTAAGCATTTTACAGAATTCTCTACTTGACGAGATCTCTGATATATTTTTGTCCAGTGCATACATTTATTTCTGATGATCTGTAATAGTTCTCTTAAATCAGTACATTTCAAATATATTCTTACCTTTTTTTTTCACAAAACTTTATTATTTGCTAAGTAGACACAACTCAAATATACATTACATATAAAATATTATACTTTAATGACTTATGTGTATTTTGAATATTAATATGAGGTGATTAGCCCTGTGTCACCCAGTCAGTCAAAGGGTTCTTATTCCATTGTGCATTAGTTAGGTGTATCCTTATATTTCAAAACAAGATCCACAAGGCTACCTCAGGGCCTGTAAACATGGGATGGAACAGCTGCATTGTAATTTTTACTGAGGATGATTCATTGCACGTCTTGTAAAAAATGTAAACAATGAATAAATAATGAATTTGGATCGAGTAGCCAGCCACCAAACCGGACTGTTGTGATTACATCCCAGCCAGATTTATTTTTACTGGGCAGGTAGAGTTTTTATGGGTCGAGTAAGGGAGCTCATGTTATTGGTGTTCGAGGGAACTTGAGGGCTCACTGTCTTTGTTGGCAGGCTGCTTGAGTGTCCCATTGATTCTTCTGCTGCACGCAGAAGCAAAGTGTAGTTGATAGCTACTTCCTCAACTTTTCTCAATAGCTGCAGCCTTTGGGCTTCTGAACGAACCCCTCTGACCAATTTAATGAAGGTTTGAGTTAGTTCACACAATACTTGAAAGCTAGCTGAGACGACAGCAAGCATACGTGTTGGACTTTTTTCAACACTTGCCACACGTCGACAAGATGCTCTGAATTCTTTGAAGCGCACAGCCAGCTCTTGTTTGTACTCTGCAATTCGTGAGGGCTGAAGACGGGCCTCGCCCTCAGCCTGTGGGCTGTTAGCACACTGACGCAGGATAGCTAGCAACTCATTAGCATCCAATTGTGCATTTAGAAAACCATCGGGTAAGCTGAATGTTTTTCCCTGTAGGGCCTGTACCCGTGCCAGGCTCCCCTCTAGTGTACCACAGGCTCTTAGGTCAATCTCCTGTGTTTGTGGCTCCTCCTCTTCCTCCTCCTCCTCTTCCCCACTGCAGTCCTCTGCATTAAGGACCTGCAGTGTTTTACTAACTACAGGAAAGGTACGTGAGTCAAGCTCCATGCCTGGAAGAACCTGAAGTGGTATGGAGTATGAGACCTCATCTTTCTCACTACTTTCATCTGCTGCCTCACACTTCCTGTAGCAAAAACAAAATGAGCAGCATTTATCCTTGTCATCACTGTCTTCACTGGGCAGGGTCAGCAGCACCTCACTCGTCCCCTCTTTACTTTCACACAGAAGCTCTTCTCCCTGAATAAAATAAACCCCCTTTTTCCCCTTCCCCTCTGCCTGGTGAGACTGAGTGTGGACTGGCTCTACTGGAGTGGGGAGCCTCAGCCCTGTGGCCCTCACTCTCTCCATCTCCTTCTCTAGACTCTTAGCTTTGGGCTTCACCTCAGCATACACAGGTGCATTGGTGCTGTTATCCAGTTCTCCAATGCTGTAGCGCCTCTGGAGCTTCTTATATTGTGGAGCTCCCATGCAATCTGTTTGAGAAGTACAGGTGGGCAAGCAGGATCCCTGCTCTCCTCTTGGCTCTCTTGACTCAAGGCTGGTTGAGCGTATTCTTGTGGTCTTAATCTCTAAGGTCTGAGGTCTCCTAGTAGCACCTTGGGTGTGAGGGGCTTTGGAAACGACTGGAGGGGTCTTCGAGATAGTTCTCTCTCTGCCTCTGTGTTGTGTCTCTGTTGTTGAGCCCACTGGTGTGTCGGGGAGTCGCATGCCCCTACACATTCGCTTACAGTCACAGCTGCGTCTCTGCTCCCTGGAGATACCCGGTGCCTTTAGGACAGGGCTGGTGCGAAGCTGGCAGGCACAAGGAGTGCTTGAGGGCACAGGTGAGGATCCCTGGGGCAAAAACTCTCCTTGGGATGACTTGGGTTTCAGCAGCTCCTCTAAAAACTCTAACTCATACTGGCGGACCTTCTGCAATTGAGCCCTTCGCTCATCTGTTTCTCTTCGCATTCTTGCTGGGAATGTAGCTGAAAGAAGGTTTCTAAAACTTAAGAAAGGGGCACTGCGTTGGGACTTACCCTTACCACTGCCTTGCTTCTTTGAGTCTCTGGCTGGGAGAGTGGATGCCATTTCTACAGATTGGCTCGGTGTTGTTGGATCATCTAAAATAGGAAAGGATTTGATAGTACATTTCTGTGACTCCTGGTGGGATTTGCCCTGGGAACACTCAGTCTTGCTTTCAGCTGCTTCTTCTCTCACTGCTTGAACAGGCAGACGAGGGGAATACTTGGTTTGTATTTGAGGGCTGGGTTTTGCCAAACTGGGATCAGCTCCTACTCTAACTGCATTTTCTTTACTGCTAGCCAGCTGGAGGCCTTTTGCTTGAAGACGTTCATCATCTGTTGGGGAAGAGGATTGAAACACTACTACCTTTTGAACCTGTGGGTCTTTCAGTCTTAGTTGTGGCCCTGGATCCTGTTGCACTGGGCATGTGCAGAAAAGGTCATCAACTGGTAGAAGTTCTGTGGAGCTTGAAGGCTTTGTGGTCTCGCTAGAGGCAGTTTCGGCATCTTGGCACATTTTTGTAGGGGAAATCTTGGCAGAGGCAGTTCTGTCCACAGGCAAGAGGATTGGTAAGGCTTTGTTGCTAGCGTCTGTATTAAGAGGTGTTGTTTTCTTCCCCTTTATACCCTCAGGACGATTTTGGCACTGTGTCTCCCCAGATAAATTTGATAGCATCTGGTCATTACTAACTTGAGCTGTCAGTGAAGCATCAGACACTTCTTCGGGTGACTTAGAAGGGGGGTCAGGGGTGTTTGCTTTGGTGGACTCAGAGCTTGCCTTCATTTCTGCTTTCTGTTCAGTCTGAGTAGTGTCTTGATTTCCCCCTTGCTCTGTCACAACACTGAGTATTGCTGAGTCTTGACTGGGACTGACTTTAAAGGGAACAGTCTTGCTGAGGATTACTTGCTTGGTTGGACAGCCAGCACGAATCTGACCTACAGAGAAGGCCCCCGTACCAATAGTTTTTGCAGTGCATCCAGGGATAGCCAGGGGAAAATCACGACGGCAGAGAATACGTTCCTTGTTAATATGGTGAGCCAGCAGGTAGGCCTGGTTCTGGTTTTGCTTCATAGCTGATACCATCTCAGAAACATCTGTCAATTCTGAGGAGTTTGTCTCATGGCCTGAGTCCAATGATGATTCAGGTGTAATGGCAGCTAAAACAATCAACCCTAAGGAAGAAGACAACACAACACAATGTTAGGATAATCAAGAAATAATGAATATAGATGACACAGAAATATTAAATTTTATACAAGTGTGTTACTGTCGTTTCTGAACCAGACATTTGCGGTTGAGTGGAATCATCTTAATTATAAAACGACATAAATCATTTTTGGAACAGTCATTCAAGATTGGATTTAAAACCTGTATTCAGATTGAGCTATATGTATCAGTGGGCTTGCCTCACCCAATTGGAATGAACTAGTTTTTTCATGCAGATGGGTGTGCTTAAGAAGTGTATAAAGACCAGCAATCGTTCTACTTCTAGTGTTTATAGAATCAAAAAATGAGCTCGCCTTTTTGTCAGTCTCATAATATTTTAGTTTTGATAAAAGGGTTTATCTTTTTAGACACAATTTCATGTCATATTGCTGTCCTTTTTTGTGCATCCTGTTGTTTTTCATTTGATACGAGGAATAGTAGTTTAAGAATGGCTTTCATATTCTAGTTTGGGTCATCCAGATTTTTTTCAGTAAGGCTCTTATCTTAAACCCTGTACCTCATATTATTATACATGTATTGCTTTAAATTTAAGAAATAACATGATTATTTAGCCATTTCATAAAGATATTTGCTTAAGTAAATATAGTGATTATATGCTGTAAATGTACTATTATATTAATTGATTAAAAAAAAGCAGCATTTTTTTATATGGGAGCTACATGTAGTTCTTTGACTGAGATGTGGGCAGTTGCATGACTGAGGTTGTTGACCTGCAGTCTGTGTTGGCTGCTGAGGGTGATGGGGGAAGTCCTCAGAAGCTGCCAAAGCCTCTAACGCTTGTAAGGTTGACACCAGAGCATCATCAAGCTCCTGGGCATGATCTCGGACTGTTCTCGTGGCCACATTATCAATAAGAGTCACAGGCACATCTTCCTTGGCTTGGGCTAGCTTCCCAGGGTTGACTGCTGGGCTGGCACTGGTACGAGCCTTCCTTGCTCTCTTTGGGTCATCCTCATCAGAACTGTTGTCCCTGAATCCAGGTGGTGGGGCAGCAATAGCAGGTGGCGGTAGTTGCAACTTTTCTCCTTCAGCATCTACCTCCTCCTCCTCATCCTCTTCTTCATTACCTGGGGGCGGAAGGGCCATGAGATCAACAGCACCTCCATCTCGGGAGGCACAAGCACTGGAGCAGTGTTTTCCAGAGCTCCCACTACTGTTCACTACTCCTGACAGACCCTCTGCCTTAAGCCTGGCTTTGCAGGAGTCACAGAAGTATCGTGAGCTTTTCTGGGATTGACCCATTGTTTGGCTTCGGATTCTAAATCCTGCATTCTCCACTGCTGGGCTCTCTAAAACCCCAGTTATTTCCTCTGTACTCTGCTGGGTGGGGTCTGACTTGGTGCGAGGCCGACCTGGGGGCTCCTGAGAAATAAAGTTCTCATTGATGTCAAGTTCAGTCTGCGGTTGGATCTCCTGAAATTGTTGTTGCTCTCGAAGGTGGACATGACACAGCCCTAGGTGCTGAGGTTCTGCCGGAACTATGGCCCTTGAAGACCCTGACTCTCTGTGCGAGCTTTCCCTCTCGTCCCCTCGCCGACTTCCACTTGGCAAGCTGGTTGCCCCGGAACGTGGGTGGGCATGGTGGGAGCTTCTGTAATCTGAGGATAGAATTGTCAGAGCAGTGAAGAGTTTGAGGTATCAAGAACTAGTGGGTATAGAGAAGATCCAGATAGGAAAGCAGAGGCGACAGCTGGTGGTCACATGGGGGTTATTTGTTATTTCAGAGATGGATGTTGAAAGTTGAAGTTTGTTTGAGATTTGAAAGTTAGATTCTGGTGGAATGTGATGGTATGATGATCCTTCTTTTAAGTAGACTACAGGTTGAGACAGCAGATGGCAGAGGATCTGTTCATGTTTGAAAAGTAAAATGTCTATGATTATATCAAAAAATTCAATTCATTGTAACAATCCACAATAAAATGTTGAGGAAAAGAGAGATGAAGTATCCCATTCCAATGAGTCAAAATGGAGATGAGAGACAGCAGTGGGCGCCATGGGATGGTAGATCAAGGACAACCTGGTTACTATATAGGCAATGGTTTCAATCAATGAAGAAGCCGATCAATATCCATGAAAATATAATGAGGATTTCCAAATATTGTCTAACATGCCATGTCTTATGGGGTTCTGAAATAGAAATATGTCAGCCATTTATACAATGTTATTTTCTGTCAATTATTTGCATTTAATATACTGTATATTGCCTAATCAGAGCAATCAGCATTCAAAATTAACCAATACAAGTCAAAAAGACTCCTAACATACCTGCCTTGGTCAGCTGAGACTGACCAGGTGTCCGGAAGTAGATGGTCCGTTTAGGGTCTACAAACAACTTGTAGTAGCCAGAGATGAGGCATGCAAAGTTACTGGCATCAGGCCACTCCATGAGTAGGACCAGCGGCTGCAGGGAGTGATAGGGAGGGGAATTAGGAGACAGGAAATGAGCATCACCTGCTCGTTTTCCAATGACCTGATGAAATAAAATATATAAAACAGCTTTGTACTCAATTTTGTCATTTGAAGAGTTAAAATGGAAACTGTAGCTCTAAAGAGATGCCATAATAAATTGACATTTTCCTTTCTATGAAATGGTTTTATTGTTTTTTATTATAACATGCATCAGCTCTGCTTTAATACCTTGGCTTCGTGGATTGTCACCTCCACACGTGCCACTCCCTGGCTCTCTCGGTAGAGTTGGATCTTGGCAACCCTACTGAACTCAGCCAGAACTGTTGTGAGGTTGTTTTTCAGGTCAATCACATGACTGATGCCATGCCGTGGACCCACAAGTAGTGTTGTAGCTGACTGTTTCTCATCCTGTTAAAAGACATTGGAGGTTTACAATTATATGCTTTTACTTTCTTAACTGGAACAACACACTGCACCTTTTCACAATCCAATGTTTAGACGATTCCTTGTGAAATGAGTATATTTAAAAAGCAACTACATGCAAAGCTTTAAAGAAATCAAAGGAATTAGATAATAGAGACACTCATGTATTACTGTGCAAAAAGATTTAAAAATGTGTTACCAGTCCGGCAGTGTGGAACAATATTCCTCCAAAAGGTGGGAGGTCATTTAGTACACGCATATATTGCAGCTTTCCTTGAAGAGGAGGGACCTGTCAACAGAATGATAAATAAGAAACTATCATCTTTGAATGACAAATCCTATTGCAGCACTCACTATGTCATCCTCCTGAGGGCACTGTTGAGCCAAATATGTTGGGAGTACGGTCTTATGCAATAGCTACATCTTCAGAGATAGAGAGAGCATGTCTTAGGATAAAGGACTGGTTATCTAGCAGACGAACCATTTGTTACCTTAATAAATCAAATCTCCAAAGAAGAAGAGAAATGTAGAGATTTAAATGTTAAAAGTAATCAAGAGTATGGAAATTTGCCAAATGTTATCTATACATTTGCATAATATTTAGATATTTTGTAAAAACATCATCACCAAATGGAAATCATCCACAAGAATTGTCAGTTAATGTTAAAATGTTTTATTTGAAGAAACCTTGTTGCCTGATGGTGGTGGATGCTGGTAGGTCTTCAGCAACTGAGACAGGGTCTTGCACACATTCTTCTCCTTGACTGTTGGAAGCAGAGTAAGGGGTAGAAAAGGCTCCAGTCCCCACTCTTTTCTGTGACAGTGAAAAGGGAAAGTCAGAGGGAGTACATAAAAAGAAAAGAAGAAAAACATCACAGCAGTTTTTGCAGGGAAGACTTAGCAACTGAAGACACAAAGGAGTTTTTTTTCATCTCACTGGAAGCCATGGTGTCCCTCGCTGTCACCCTGTATGACTTCTGCCTCGACATGGCCACCCTAAGTCTATTACTAGCACAGTGGATCTGTTATGCTTCTGAAGTTGTGATGGCAGAAGCTAATGACTTGCTAGGTTGAGGTTATGTAGAATAAATGAGCAAATTGCAGGAGAGATGTAATTTTACAAAGAAATAGATTTCTTTGTCCCATAATGACATGAGGAAAATGATCCATGAACAGTTTGAGTTTTAATATTATCAGGATTAATTCTTCATCATGTAGATATTACTGAATGAACAAAACGCACCGTGGGATGCAGTGAATTCATAATGAGGGGGAAAAAATGCAATACATCAATTTGTCTTAATGTCTCAAAACTTTCAAAGCTAATTTGAGTTTTCTGGACTTACTCAACATGCTTGAGAGAGATCTTCTGATTGGGCCTTGCAGAGGACACAGTGATGTAGATATGGAGTGCAGCCAAACGTAACGTGATGTCAGATTTCCAGTCCATGCCAAAACGCTCCTTGATAACGTCATTGCGATTCTGTGAGGACATGATGAAATGCTTTGTACACAGCTGATTATGAACAACACTGTTAAAGACATTTGTAAGTCTTTATATTAGTTTAGTTGCTATCAACTTTGATGCTTTCAGATAGTTGCCCATGACATCTGGCATATGCATTCTTTCTAACTCTAAAGTTACCCAACAAACCCAACCCATGATATAATCTAGAATTAAAGTAGCTCCCCATAGCAACTTGAAATCATTGTCTCTCCTGCTGCTTGAGGGGACAGCTCTCCAACAATGTTGTGAGACTGGAAGACATCCTTTTGAAACCCCTTTTAATCCAGTGATTACCTGTATGTAGAGGTACTCAAATGCAGCAGGGTCCCTTCTCAACAGGTCTGCAGGGTCCTTGGGGAAGAAGCAGATGCGGAACAGACACTTCATCCCTTGGAAATAGGTTCTATGCACCACCTGTGGGAATACACAAGTATCAACTAGGTAACAACTACATCTTTAAAATTAGTCACAAATACATTGGGGTCCAAATTTTTTCTTTCTTCTCTCCAATCTTTCTTCTTCTTTCCCATTCATGGCCCTATCTACATACACTGTATGTACTCTTATCTTTTTCCACAAGTAAACAGGGTTGTCTTCTGGATGAACCCTATTTTCCAAATACTGCAGTCGGTTACGGCATGTCTTGTTTTAGTCAAGGTGAAAGAAAATGCAAAGAAATGTTGACCCATCAACTGACCAATAATGGCAACAACCTCAAGTGATTTTTCTATTCAGAATATATCAGAAATGAGACATAAAGACACTTAGAAATACACACCAAAGGTCAGAAATGCATTCTAACCAACCGACCGACCTGCAGCCACCATTGTTGCTTTGATTGCTTTCAGTTTTTAGTCACATTTTAAATTAATATCCCAGTTTTTGTGGTGTCTTACATGCGTCAGAGGCTGGTTCTCCTGTAGCAGTTGCAACCTCTGATTCTGCTCCAGACCACCTGCCTCAAGTACTAAGGCAAAGTGCTCTATGTAGCGTAGTGAGAGGCGGTCCTGCAGTGAGGAGATCACATCCTGGAAGGAGAGAGATGGAAACAGATTAGAGACTAAAATACGTTTCCAAAGAAAGAATACATTCTACTACAGGCAAAATATACATTTAATGTATGGAAGCTATTTTTACTCTGAATTTTGTATTATGTTTGTAGAGAGTGATTTGTCAAAGTGATATCCTTGTGATGGATATTTTCTGTTTAGGCTTTTCACAATGTTATCATGTTTGTCATTATGTGCAATGGAGAGCTTCTATAGATGTTCTCCATTCTGCACAGCGAGTGCATCCATTTTAAGAAAATAACATTTGTGTGTCAGAGTTTGCAGGGCAAACGTTTGCTCTTGTGCAGATCATTATCTATGAAACATGTTTAGGTTTTCACATATCCTTTTTCTAAAATGCAGAGAACACTGTCACAGGGGTAATTCACTGTTTTTCTGTTATTGAGGGCTATCCCCATGGATACAATGTCATAATTTATATGCATTGGTAATATATAGGAGGCGTTGACATTAAAAATTATTCTGTTGTAGTGATATGTTTCTGTAGTTTGGTGAACTAAAAAATCTACACTAATAGTTTTCTATTATTTATTATTACTATTTCTAATAGTGAAAAACAGGGATGTGCAGGTTTAACATAATTGGCCTGTTTGGTTTGCATTAAAAGACACCCCTTTTTTTGTGTTATTGTTTTATTGATCTGTGCCTTCTTATTATGCTGAAATTCCATTTAATTAGACTAACACAGGAGAGATTCCTCCATCTCTCCTTTAAAGAGCTGCTCTGTTTCTCTTCCCCCCTCACTCTCTCTCTCCATTAGCAGAGGAGAGATTTAGAATCTGTTTAATGACTCTGCGCTGAGATGTCAGACTCATCTTAGAGGCTGATGTAGAGATAGAGATGACCTCTGTCTGACTCATTTCAACTGTTGTTTTATAACTGGAATCACACAAGCTCTTAAAATAATTTTAAAAAAAACTTATTAGCTATACATTTGAACATGAGGACAGAAAGGATTTTTTTAATTAAAATAATTTATAATCACTCCATTAGGCATATTCTGTGTGTTAATATTAATTAATATTGAACACTATTCGATGGAAAAGCCAATGAGAATAATTTGGTCATATTTATACTCTACCTCTTTAAGCCACTTAGAGATATTTCTATCATACATTTAAATATTTTATTTGAGTTCCAGAACTTTAGTTTTTGCTTGGGGCAGGTAAAAAACTGTCAACACAAATAGACATATTATCAAGTTGTAAGATGATATTGTGAGACTATTTACTCGTACTGCAGATAGGAGGTAGCATTGCTGTTCCTTTGGGGGGTATTACACTGTATTGTTCTGGCCACCTGATGAATATCAGTGTAATATTCACTCACCTGTTTTGTCTACACAAACTCCTGAGAAAAATGTCTGGTTAGACCCTCTAAGCTCCACGTATCACCAACTAACAGTGTCTGAACAGGTAGTGTACATTGGGTTAATTGGAGCCTTTTTTCAGCTTAATACAGGCGACCAGAAATCAGACCCTGAGAGCTGTGTGCCACCAACAGTAAAGTTGCTGGTTGCACTGCTGACAACTCAACTGAACAATGATAAATCTATTAATTATACCTACATAATTACAATAATGCTGCCATTGCCCAGCCCCTGTGGACTTATTCATATAAACAGGACTCCAGACTCTAAATTATAAAGTTGCCATGTGCACAGCTGTAGTGAATACGTACCCTAACAGTGGTACGGCTGTCAAACGTAAAGGACTTAATCTGTCCATTCTCCAGGAACACCTTCAACACATTTGGTATGAGTAGCAAGGAATCGTCCTTGAGCATTGTCTGAAAAAGATTTAGGGAGAAAACACCAGTTAAATGGAAACAAATAGATGGTATATGTGAAAATGTGCCTAAAGGGTAATCAAGAATTATTTGCTAGATAAAAACACAATCAGTTGTGGGTTTGTGCTTTGCTATTGAGATAGTTGCAGTAGAAGGAAGGGAAAAGGAGGTGAGAGAAAAGAACAATGGAGCAAAAGGGGCAAAACTGTGCCTCGGGATGCACACACTCTGGATTGTATTAGGATCAAAGAAGGGTTTATTCAAGTTCTCCATTGTGTTCATTCAATATGTTTGTCATGCAACTAAAATTGGATAGTGGGATTGAAAGCACTCACAAAGAGTTGAGTGAGGAACAAGAGGTGTGGTCTGATTCAAGGTTACTGCCTTTGCTCAAAGCACTCAAAGTTCATTCTTGCTAGAATGTGATGTCAGGGGGCGACTCTCTCCTCCCTATTGCTGTCTCCTACTTTTTCATTATCTTGCTAAAAGTTTCCAAAAACAATTACCAGGTTCTCTGATATAGAAGGTTTCTTAATTTAATAAGATAGACCTGAGGTGTTTCAATGAGACATCTGGAGAACAGCCTCTCAGCCCAAATCTCCCCTTTTTCTGGATCAAAACAAAAGTGATATGCATCTTTTTTCCCTCTATTCATCTTTTTTCATCTGATGATCAGATTTGTCAGAACAGCAGGCAGAAATTACTCATGACAGTAACGGGATGTAAATTTATAGCCACAGTATATCTCAAAAAATGCATTCAGCTGAAATAGTTTTGTTCACAGCAGATGCCCAGCAGTCTGTTTTTTAAGAACTTAAGTATTCAAAAGGCTCAACAAGCTGTTCTTCTTTGGAGACTGGAAGTGGCTATAAGGCCTGCATGCGTAATTAGTCAACAGATCTTTCTCCATACTTCAACAGTCAGCATGCACCAATCAGCAAAAGTCTGCATGCAGCAGAGAAGAGAAACCTCAAACATCCTCCCCATTGCTTGCTGCTACCTTTGTCCTTGTTAGTGAGCGTGAGCTGGAGCTGATTGGTCACATGCATGAAAAGTGTTATCAGGGACAAATCACAGCCCAGTGCCATGGCCTCATCTCTTTCCTCCTCTCGCTTTCCCTCAAAAAAACAAGCTAGAGGGCCAACACTGATAAACTAAAGAAGTGTCATGCTATACATTGGGGTTTGGTGGCTGAAATATCTGATCATTACTAATTATAGCATCTCCCTCCCATGCATCAGCATTAATGTCAATTGTGACATAGAAACAGCAAGGAAGATTGAGGAAGAGAACAGATCTAGCCTCCTGCTGATTGCCTTTAATAAAACTGGTGGCCTTCGCTGGCTTGATTTAGGGCCACTAAAGGAGGCCCGTGGCGTTCTCTTGATCTCGACTGCTGGTACTGCAAGGCTAGAGTGGATGGTCTACTCAGCAGTGATGAAAAGCAAGCGTGAGTTGGTTGCTTAAAACTGTGTTATAGGTTATCAGCGACCTGGTGGTCCCTGTGATGAGCAATCCTGTTCTTCTTCCATTAAGTACATACTAAATGGAAAATAAAATGATGAAATGCACTTTCCCAACTGATTCTTTATTGATTGTCTTGTTGCATGTCATCTTCATTCTCTCACTTTATTTACAGTGATAGATCCTTGATCGACCACCAGGTGTTAGGGACTGAATACATTTTTGAGATGGAGAGTGGTGTGGGGAATGTTTTATTTCATTTTGTGACATACAATGCTGCTCCATTGTTATAGTCCCATTCCATTAGCTTACTATACATAACCTTTGTTTAAAAAAAAACTTTCATGGCCTTATGGCTTAAATATAACTACACACCTTCCTTTTCCTCTTCATCTCCTGACTGTGATCTGAATATGCCTCCGTCTCTTCTTCCATATTGAACCAACACATTTTGACACATCTCATAGTAACATAAGAGATCTCTAACTTGGTGTGTGCAGAGCTATTTTCTGAGTGCTCACTTGCACTGTTATCTTACCACGTGCGTGCACTACATTTTTTCCATTCATGCAGACAGTGAGACCTCATAGTTTCAGCTGCAGCTGTGGCATCAATGTAGTTCTTTCCCACTCAATAACTTGTTTCCCACTCTTTAGTCTGTATACCTGTCACTTGAAACCTTGGTTCATGTGCATGTGCCACTATAGATTGAAATAGTTCTGTGGCAAACGCTAAATATGTGTAAAACTTGATTTTCACTGAAGGGGGCCTTTATTGTTTTCTTTTGACAAATACTTGAATAAAAAGTTGCTTAATAAACCATCAAATGATCACGTATACCAAGTCTATTGACGTTTAATTAGCGAGGTATTTAATAGAATATGAATATGGGGTACAATAACTCCTCAAATCTCTCCAAAAAGACTACCTTCCCTTCTGCAAAAATGTAAATACCTTACTTATCTTTTTTTCTGACCCTCCCTTACCCCTTATGAATTAACTTGCCCCTTACCTCATACATATTTCACACAGCAGATAAGTGATATTTTTAACTGAGATGTTGATAGAAGAGTGAAAATGTGATTTCTGCCATGTCATGCCAAGTAGCAATGTTGGAAATCAACCCCCCGAAAAACATTTCCAAGTGATATTATGCTTTAAAAAGTCTGAAAGCCTTTGAAGACAGGTTCAGGTTGTTCCTGCAAGAATTCAAATCAGTCAGGAAAGCAATTTATTCTAAGCCAAACTGCTGGACTGAAAGCATGCACGGACACACAGACACATGCACAACCTAGGGAATCTCAGACTGAAACAAGAGGGTAGAGAGAGGACTTGAAGCTTTTGCGATTGCTGATCAAACAAAAGAAATGCAAAGTAGGAGAGGGAGGGATAGGGTAACATCACAATCCACGGGGTGAGGTGTCATGTAGAACTTACTGAGTCCGGGTCGCTGATGGACACTTGCTCTGAAAAGCGCACTTTAGGCGGGTTAGTTCGCAGGCGGGCCTTTTTGGCTGCGCTTATGAAGGCAGACTTAGGTGACTGAGGATGAGAAGAAAGAGAGATAGAGGAACTCTTGAATCAGCTTGGAAGACGAGATGTAAAAATGAGAGAAAAGCCCCAGTGACTGCCAGTGCTAAAGTGTGTTGGATAGGCCGACTAATGCTGCTGCAATGCGACAACTCCAAATCTGCTTTAGACGTGATGCCCACCTGCTAAAACTTTAAATATTTTTAAATTGTTGTGTTTACTGGCTTGAGAGCAATTAAGATCTTAGTCGCTTGATCAAATAGACAAATCCCTCCAGAATAGCTGCATATATCCAAATGATTAAATAAAAAAGGATCTAAACATCAGCATTTCATCTTCCAAAAAATATCCAGGTTAGGCATCCGGCTTAATTCAGAGTACATTTCCTCTGTATGGATGGCTGCACAGAAAATCATTATTTAATACGGTCTCGTGTAGGTGTTGTTATGCCCACATGGAGCAGTTCTGAAAGGAGTTACCTGGAAATGAAATTACTCTGATGTGTAGACGTGGCCATAAATGCTAATATACTCTATATATGTCTGTTGCTGTTACAAAATACTTAACGTTTCTGCATGATTCACAGTTAAAGTAAACGTGTTAAAACCTGATGAAGAGTACGAGAAATCCTGTGGGAGAGGAACATGAAAGAGAGAGTGGCCCATTATACTACCTGATGGGGCTGCAGCACAGTGAGAACTATAGTGTCTTTGCAGCGTCTATGGAGAGACAACAAGAGAGTGGAGTGGGTTAGATAATGCCATGGACAGCATGGCATTTAGAGAGCTTCTCCAGTTTATATCTGCCATTTCCTCACTATCCTTCAGCTGCGAAAGGGACTGACTCATCCACACATTTGTGTTCATGTAACTCATCAGCAGCAGAAAGAAACTGTTTTTTCCTTACAATCTACCCTCCTCACTCCCATCCTTTTTCCTCCCTCTTGCCCCTGACCTGTGCCCTCCCTCCCTCCTGGGACAGTAAAGGATGTTACCTTACAAGGTCTATGACTCTCTCTCTGGGCGCGTCGCTCACCGTCTCCTCGTTAATGGCCAAGATCTGGTCCCCGGGGAGAAGCTTGCCAAAGGAGGGGCCGTCTGCAAGTGAGACGGGACACACACAGCCAGCAGGCCAAGTCATGGGCATGCGATAAAGAGGTTTAACTTGAGACATCATATCACAGGATTAACTTAATGGGCAATCACTCTTCCTGTATGCTCCACACACATGCACACACACACACACAGTTTCTCCATAACTTCAGAGGACATTACGTTGAATTACATTAATTTCCCTCACTCTAACCTTAAGCATTAAGTTTCTACTTGCCTTAACTTTAAATAACCTTAAAACATGTAATTTAATGATTTAGGTTATGGGGACTTACTTTTCCTCCCATGGGGAAGACAAGTCTCCATACACACACATGCACGCACACACACTAACCAGCAGAGACGGAGCGTACAATGACAGGCCTCTGGCTGCCTGCAATGAAGCCGAAGCCTTGAGTTGAGTGGCGCTGGATGGTGACCTGTCGAGCTGAGGCAGGACTTAGGGTACCACTGTCCATACCATCTTGACTCTCCTCTAACATCGCAGAGCTGCAGAGTGCACACAAACGCAAATGTCAAACACCCACAATTTTCTTTTAAATCAGACACTGCGTGATGTCTCATGTCATGTGTCGCAGTGTGCACCTTTCACATGCATTCGTATGTCCATCCTGGACCTTGGCCATCCCCTGAGAGGAGGGAGCAGCATGGGACGGGGTTGCACTGCAAAGGCCTCACTCTGTTTTGCAGTCATTCACCTGCACACACAGAGAAATAAGAATAATAAAAAGGATCTAAATCACGTCACACCCAGTGTCTTTAAGCACACCTTGGAATGCAGCTACACAGAATACTGAAATGATAAATGTGAAGCTGATGTAATGTTCAACCTAACAATCTCAGACATCCTCCGTCGTATCTGTCTCATATGCTTTGCAACGGAAAACGCTCAAAATGGAAGCAAAAATCATTAAAATGTGTATAAATATTCACTGAAAGCATCTGACATTTGTTTTTAGGCAAACTGTAGCTATCAAGGATCTATAACACAATACATACAGAGTATTTAACACAGTAAGATCTCTGAAACTGCCAGTCTCTGCCAGTGTGGACCAAGCTACTGCTGTGAAACACACATGCTCTTTTACAGATGCATGTGTGGGAGGCAGTGAAAGCAAGATTACTGAACGATTCTGTGTGAGTGTGTATGTGGCACTTGGGTTTCTGTTTGGCAGAAAAATGACTGAAAGAATGGATGAAAATGATTGTGTGAGGGAAAGAGAGCCAGGTATTTATCGTATGTGCGATCTCAGAGTGATTCCTGACTGAAGACGAGTCACTGATTGTGATGTTAATGGTTTATGATGCCGGGATACACTGAAGAGAGTAAATAGCTACTGAGTGTGACAAACTGTCAGTAACAGGAGTGTGAGTCACATTAGTCAATAGTTTAGATTCATATTCTTGTCACTTGTTATTTCTGATAAGAGTGGCTTATGGGGCACCACGGCTCATTTACAATTCCAGCGATGCATTACTGATCTCTACCTTGTGTCATGATATCTGATGAGGGTTGATGTATCGTAGATAGGCTTCATATTGAGTGCAGTCCATGACTACAAATCCATTGCATTGTGTGCTTTGAATCTCAGTTACACTAATCCTTTAGAAAGATTTGAAAAAAAATGCCTACATTCAATATTTAGCTGACTTACAAAGGATCATCTGTCTGAATCAAAGGTGCACAGTCATGACAAATGAAGCCACAGCTGCTGCTTCTGCCTCTAAACAGGATTAAATTTTTTTTTTTTATTTAGAGTGATTATTTTCTCCTTTGATGCTCCCAGTGGATTCTGAAGGTGCACTTCTCTCCACAGTTATTCTCCACCAGTCTGTCTCTCTAATGTCTTTCTCTTTCCACCATCTGTCCCCCATTGCAGTTGCTGGAAGGACACACATGCAGTTTGATCTTCAAGGTGTTGCCAGCCACCTCTAATTCATCAGGTGTGTGCGTGATTGCTTTGTGTCAGCAACTCTCATCCATTGCACAGAAGCCAAGATTAGTGAACTCAGTGAAGGTAGAATATTTATGCTATAAAGAGCGTGCACTTTTACCTTTATCTGTTATTCAGTAGGGTCGGGTGTCATTTGTTTTGTTTTTTTTTGCAAAACACAAAATTGATACAGAGCGATTCTTTTTTCCTAAAAAACTGAAAAAACGACAGCCAATGAGAAGAACTGTTTTTTCATTGCTGAGGAACATTAGAAGTTGAAAGTTAACACATTAACAGTTGATTGTATGCTTAACTTAAATATAATATCATATACTATATATATATATATATACATATATATTTCTAACACAACATATTTAAATCAAATAATAAATACAACCTAACCCAAATATATTAATTTAACACTAAATAACAGTTTCAGTGCTCAATCCAACAAAACACTCAAGGCCCAAACTCCTCATCAATTGTCCAAAACATGGAGCATCCCTCTGCTTTCCAATGCATCCCTTCTTCCCTTTTTGGGACTGTTTTCAGACATTTGCTGCATGTCCCGGTGTCGGAGTCCTTCCTTATGAAATACGAACACAAATCTTTAACCGTTGAGCTTTAGGCATTTTGGTGTCCCGTCGACTCGAGTTTGAGGTTATTAACTGTCAGCTAATGTTACGTGCTGTCAGAGCCATATTGAGAGTGTCTTGTCACAAGAGTTTAGTGTAATATGAAATAGATTCATGTGGTGATGGTTATGTTGCTTGGAATCAGAGCAACTATTTCAGTAGAGAGCTCAGCCACTGAAATGAAGCATCTGTGTTGTGTGCTGGTCCGATAAGTATGGGCCATGTAAGAACAGTAAACAACTCTACTATTCACAGAGCCCTTGATGTAGTTTGATAGTCCCTGATTCTTTTTTGTACATACAACATCAAATAACAAGCTGGAATTGTGTACCATCTTGTGAAAATCCTCCTCTCTTTGTTTTTGTCCCATTGCTTTGGACACAGCTTTAGATTCCTTGCTCAATTTAGAGAGAGAGTTTTGGCATTCAAAGTAAGTGTAGAGAACGAACTGAACAGAAGGGAGAATGATGAAGGTAGCCGGGGGACACTGAAGCTTACATGTCTGCAAAGATAAACAGCCATTCAGCAGAGAGCCCGGCCTTTTACTGAGCGAGGACACCAAGGAATTCTGTCAAGAAATTATCCCCAAGGGCATCGGCGGACCTGCCTGTTGCTATAGCTACTGCTCTCGGTAGCTCATCGGAGCTTGGGTGGACAGAGAGATAGTGGGTGGATGAGAATAGTGATGTGGCCACTACAAGGGTAGGAGGAGCAGCCGAATGCTCTCCGATCACCCTGCAGCCACTGTGGCCATATGCCAACGTTTCCTGAGGCGCTGGGGGTCAGGGCAGCAGATACCTGCTCTGCTGCAGCTCACCAGGCCTCAGGGTCTGGGAAGAATAACCTTTTGCCTACTATTCTCCCAGGGCTGCATTCTGACAGGTTTATTATTAGCTTGAAGGGTCACTGTGTTTCATAGTGCTGCATTGTTCAGGTCCAGATCAGATATTAGGTATAAACTACAGGTTGAATTACTCACCCGTCAGTCACAGAATCTGTTTTTGGTAATTGCGAATTGAATTGCATGTTTTACAGTAACTCCAATTAGAAAACGTAAGTATGAAAAACCTCATGAAGATTTTTGGGTTGGATTTTACTGGATGTAACTGTAGACTGTATAGCCAAAAATTGTGCATCTTACTGAATAACACAGTAATTCACACAAAGTTATAAGGAGCAATAAGGAAAATAAAACCAGTTGGTATATAAAGTCTATGGTTGGTACATACATGCAGTA